CCACCTCCCTATTTTCTGCATATAAACTGACGTTTTCCCAGCCACCATCAGTTCTGAGGAAGGGTCACCGGACCCGAAACGTTAACTCTGTTTTCTCCTCCACAGATGCTGCCAGACCTGCTGAGCTTTTCCAGCAACTTTATTTTTGTTCCTGATTTACAGCATCTGCGGTTCTTTCGGTTTTTATTTACTGACACTTATGGAATTAGGGAGCTCCCTTGCTCCCTCTGGTGCCTTCTTTACAAAAGTACAATGACACCATCCATCACAATTTCTAATCTGTCGAACACCCTTTAGCTAAAATGGCTAATGTTGCACTCTGATAAATTTGGCAATGATAACTTGTATGATACCAATATTATCTGCATTAGTTAAGTAATTAAGTTTCTTAATTGTGTTATCAAATATAAGTCAGGATTTACTTTGTTTCTGGTGGTTTTAGAGTTAACTTGCCTTTTTTGAAATTAAACAAATGTTTGATGGATATTTGCTTTTCAATGTATTCTCCATGCACTCCATGTACCATCCACTCTCCATTTCTCTCACTTTTATCCACAATTGTGGGATATTGGTTTTGAAAATGGTAACGTTCATGTTGTTCTGATGCCTTGCTCTAGAATTTGTGAAAACTGTCGGGTGTCATTATCACACATATTCTTTCACTATCTGTAAGAACTGTATAATTCTACTCAGCATCTCTCTTTTCTAATACCAATAGAAAACTAACACATGGAGGACCATGGGAAAAGACTAATTTTCTTTCCAAACCTATTTATTTTTCAGATCCTGTTTGCAACAGATGATTGGTTTGCAGCTGCAGAGAATCTTTTGAAGGTCAGCAGGATGGTTTAATTAATTTGCAAGTGGCGATTTGGGCAGTAAATTGAAATGGTCCATCTATATTTTTGCATACCACATTCTTAAATAATGATGCTTTATTGCATGTGTGTTTTGCTGCTGATAACTTTAGGCAAAATGTGCCATTTGAAAATAAATAGCATGTTATAAAAAACAAGGGTATGACTTAAACTTTTTAAAACTCTTAAATCAGATTTGTGACCAATGAGCCCCAAAAGAATTTTGAAATGATCGAAAATTGTGTACCATTTTCTACAATGGTCTGTTAGAAATTCCTTTTTACTACTTCAGTATGCAGAATTCACCCATCACTTGAAGACAAAAAGAACCATAAGTCAAGGAACTTTATTTCCTGCTGCTCAATAATAACTTCCATTTATATAGTACCATTAACGTGGAGAATGATCCTTAGCACATTACAAGACAGGTTGGGAGGGGAGGAGAAGATGGAAGCCAAGGAGACTTGGATCTTTGGTGGAATTAGGTTAGGAGGTTTCACAAAGTAGCATTGAGATGATTGAAGACTCTGCTATCAATAGTAAAGTCATGGGAAGTACTGATAATAAGGAGCATTGGGTGGGGAGGGTTTGATGACTCTGCGAAGGAGTGAGTTTTATTTTTTGTGCAGAGACCAAAGAAAGACAGTATTATAATCTGATAGGGTGTCTTGATTCAGAGGGAACCTTCTGAAAGTTATACCTACCCCACATTTAGAATCCATTTTTAAGAAATGGGCTGCCCTACTACTGCTGGCCTGTCCATGTTACATTGTTGCACTGGCCAGGTAATACTGGGGTTAATTGAGCTTCTTGAAAGTTCAATTAACTCCTGATTATTTACGTTTTGTGTATGGATTGCCCACCCTCCAAATTATGGGGATGATCTAAGGACCGTCTGGGAAGGGATCGGCTATTTTATAGTACACTCCCAGCTGAAAATACACTGTGCCCATTATATCCAGGCCCCTGTGTAATCTCATCCCCATTGAGTCTAATGAAATTCATTTCATGTGGGAATCTTCCAGATGACAATTCCATCCTATTAGTGTGGCTAGGTTTGAAATCTGATCGAAGAGAATTTCAATAATGCACTCATCCAGTTTCTTTGTCTCAAACTTTAAAACCAATAATTTAATAGCGAGAAGCGCCACAATGGAAAGCAGAAGATTTCACTAATTTTGGAAAATGGATGGATGGCTGGGAAACCAGGAGAAAACGAATTTCAGGTAAATAAAAATCTAACCCACATATTTAATTTTTAAGGTAACCTTATGATGTTTCTTTCAAGGATCTTAGTGAATGAAATGCCATAAAAATGACTCTGTTTAATTTGATATATATCAGACAGATGACAAATAAAGGCTTGTAGTTACACGTTGTACATTAGGATCAAAGCCCTTACCAGCCAATGAAATTGTTTTGAAGCTTAATCCCTGTTGTCTTGCAGGAAACACAATCACTAATTTTGACCACAACAAACTCCCACAAACAGCAATGTGGCATTGACCAGATAACCTTATTTAAGTAAGTGATGTTGATTGAGGAATAATTGTTGGCCAGGGCAATAGGGGATAACTCCCTTGCTCTCCTTTGGAGTGGGGTTGTGGGATCTTTTACATGCATCTGCACATTCAGATAGGGCCAAGGTTTAACAGTTCATTGAAAGACAACACCTCTGGAAGGCCATGGAGCACATCCCTGATTTTCATGCTCAAGGCTCAAGAGGGATTCATGTCTCAGAAGTGGGCATGTAACCAGATAAAAACCAAAAGAACTGCGGATGCTGTAAATCAGGAACAAAAACAAAGTTGCTGGAAAAGCTCAGCAGGTCTGGCAGCATCTGTGGAGGAGAAACAGAGTTAACGTTTCGGGTCCAGTGACCCTTCCTCAGAACATGTAACTCATGGACATGTAACCAGCTGAGTCACAGCCAACAATCCCTCTAAGCTGAGCGGTTGCACACGTGTGCAGCCACTCTGATATCCCATCCACAATGATTGGCTTTGGCCCACTGATCATTGCATTGACTACTGGTTCTGGCAGTCACTGCTGCGCACAAGCCTGGAGGCCTTCACAACCAGTAAGAAAATTATAGGGAGCTCAAGCAACAGCTGACACACAAACTATTGGCAACAGCCATGATATAAAATGTACCCATGCCCGTACTAGGAAAAACATATACTATGGTACACAGGCAGTGAAAGGGCCCTGGGGAGTGTTATAGAACAAAAAAATCTACAGGTTCATACACTCCTTGAACATAGAGTCACAGATAGACAGGGTGGTGAAGGAGTCTTTCAGCATGCTTGCTTTCATTGGACAGAGCATTGAGTATAGGAGTTTGGAGTCTTGTTGCAGCTGTACAAGACGTTAGTGAGGCCACATTTGGAGCACTGCGTGCAGTTCTGGTCACCCTACTATATTAAGGATGTTATTAAACTAAAAAAAAAGTGCAGAAAAAATTACTAGGATGCCACTTGGGCTAGAAGGTTTGAGTTATAAGGAGACGTTGGATAGGCTGGGACTTTTTTCCCTTTCCCCGAGGGAGTGACCTTATACAGGTCTATAAAATCGTGAGAGACATGTATAATGTAGATAGCCAACAGCTTTTCCCCATGGGAACACAGTCCAAAACTAGATGGCATAGATTTAAGGTGAGAGGGGAGAGATACAAAAGGGTTCAGAGTGGCAATTTTTTCCACACAGAGATGATAAGTGTCTGGAACGGGCTGCCAGCATGGTGGTGGAAGCGAGTACAATTTCATCATTTAAGAAACATTTAGACAGGTACATGGATGGGATAGGTATGGACAGATATGGACCAAATGCAGGGAAATGGGATTATTTTAATTTTGAAAATTTGGCAACATAGGCAAGTTAGGTTGAAGAGCCTGCTTTCATGTAGTAGACCTCTACGATTCTATGGTGAGTTCTCTATTAAGTAGGTAGGAAACGGGTCACCTCATGGCTCTGTTGGATACAGCTTTAGCAATTGTGGAATGGAACCAGACAAACCAGGAAAGGTCTGCCTTTGGTAAAACAAAGGATGTAAAACAAAGGACAGCGGATGCTGGAAATCTGAAGTAAATCCAGGAATCAGAACTGAAATCCTGAAAGAAAGGTAACTGGACTCAAAACATTGATTCTGCTTTCTCTGCTCAGATCTGTTGTGTTTCTCCAGCAATTTCTGTTTTTGCTTCAGTGTCTGTTGTTGGTCCTCGTTTGTGTTGAGCTGGCAGATCATAGCAAAGGATAGCACCTGAGACATGATGATGAACAAAAATAAACTCACTTAAAATGTGGGTGGTGACTGGATTAGGCTTAGCTGTGATATCTGCATGGTAAAATGGCCCACCAAAGCTGAATACATGAGCTCATACTTATGAAGAACAGCTATGTGGGTGCATTTGGAAAATACCTGGCACTTATCAGGCGTTTTTCCTGGCACAACCCAGTAACTTGAAGAAAGGAAAAGGAATAAAACTGGATAGGAGCAAAAGAGAATAAAAATTAAGTATTGCAGCAAAGACCTTTCCTGTTAGTTACACACAAGGCAAGGTGGGGTTGGTGTTAATCAAGCAGCAATTCATAATAACAAATTTATTAGCTGAGGTAAACTTGAGCCTGCATGATGGATTTGAAAGTTTCCGACAGGATGAATTGTCGATCTATACAAATCTAATTTTTCAGGATATTCAGGGTAAAAGCTGACTGAAGGGATTGAACCACATTCTTGTCTTTTAGAATGACCTGTCAACCCTGAGTTTGTTAGGACGAAACAACTTTTGGTTCTTCACCATTCTTTAACCATGTCCAGGATGTTCAGTTGGCAGTTTTGCAAGCCTTTCATTCTTCCACCATTAAACATAAATCGCCCCAGATATACCTCACTAACACATGCTATAATTTTATATACTTCCTCTCCTCTGCTCCTCTATTTGCTCTGACATTGTTGCCTCTATTGGCTTGCTCAATAGCCTTTCTTCTAGCAATCCTCATGGTTTTTCACAGCTGGATTTTCAAAATGGAAGACTACAGACTTGAATGCACCTTGTATATGATTGACTCGGCCTTTTTTTTAAATGCCTTGATATGTGAGATTTGATGGTTGGGCCAGCATTATTTTTTACCATCCCTAATTCCCTTTAGAGGGTGGTGGGAAGCTGTCATCTTGAAATTCTGCAGTTCTTGGAGTGGAAGAACACCTCAGTGCTGTTAGAAAGGGAGCACCAGAATTTTGACTCAATGACATTGAAGGAATTGCCACACATTTGACAGGACTATCTCGAAAAGAATGTAAAGTCTGCCTTTCTTTGGCCGAATCCCCCAATTATTTTATTATCATTTGGAGATTAAAGAGAGACCAAATTCTTCTCTCAAATTCACATTTCCTCTCTGATTCAATGTTTCCTCAGCTTGTTGACTCTCAGCTTCGCTGGCAAGACTGGAGCACACATGAACTCTATTATTTCATTGTTTTTTTCTTTTTTTTTCCTCCCCCTTCTTTTCTTCTGCTCAGATGCCAGCCAATGTATTGAGCATGGAAATGTCCCTTGTGTTGTGAGGCACATTTGCATGTCATACATTATTGTTTTAGTGACTTTGCAAGCAATTCTTCTCACAAACCACCGAGGAACACATTGTGATGGAACAGGTTCCATTCGACCAGTTCTGTGGGCGTAAAATTGGGGTCCAAGTTTTGGTCATTTGTGGAGTGTACATGTAGTATTTATCTTTAAAGAAATATATTTCCACCGGAAACAAACTTGGTATTAGTTTACAAAGTACAATTGATCTGATTAAGACAACCTTATTTTTCTTTATACTCCATTTATATTCTATTCAAGCATGAAGGAAAAGTCATCATAGTCCTACTGGACCATGGGGCTACTCTCTCGTTAAAGATTGTCATTTAAGCTGAGGGTGACCATGCCTCAAGAAAGGGGAGAAGTTGAAAAGGAGAGTTCTTTATGGTAACCTAAGCCAGTGTAGGAATTGAACCCACATCATTGGTGTCACTTTGCATTGCAAATGAGCCATCCAGCCAACTGACCAGAGGAGGTGGTGAAGACTGGTACAAGTACAACACTTAAAAGGCATCTAGGAGGGTGTGTGAATAGGGAGGGTTTAGAGGGATATGGGCCAAATGCCGGCAAATGGGATTGGATTATATTAGGCTATCTGGTCAGCATTGATGAGATGGACCGAAGGGTCTGTTTACATGCTGTACATCTCTATTACTCTATGTCCTATTCAAGTAGTTGGACTTTGGAGTTGTCTACTTTTATCCTTGGCCAATGCACAATTAGCCCTGATGCTGATTAAGCCACTAAGAGAATCCTTCAACTTGTGCTTCACATCTGATTTTGCTGCAGTTATTTTTTCCCATCAAGTGAACTAAAACTTATTCTTCAAACGTATATTCCATATTTGTACTTCATAGGTCATGACTGGTGTATTATCAAGCTGGGCGTGCCTGGAATCATACATGGATTTGATGTAGATACTTCTTACTTTACTGGCAATTATGCTCCTCGTATATCGATTGCAGCAGCAAACCTAAATGCTGGTAAGTAAGCAGCACATTATTAGACTGTATGGCATTCAGTGGTATTCAGGTCATATCTCAATTCCGCACAAGTGCACCAGATAATTTGCCTTTACCCCTCACAAACTTTACCCCCTTGTAAGCATTCAATAAGTGGGGTAGAACTAAGTGGGTCAGCAGATGGTTTTCTGCAGGCTTCTGCATGTTGGGTTGCTTGGAGGAGATTATAGATCAACCCTGATATCTCCAATGTATTTCTGAGCATTCTTTTGTCTCCCTTCAATCTTGCCTACTTGAAATGAAAAGTAATCTTGAAGTGACAATCTTTGCGGAGATTTGTCATACTAATGTCTTTGCTTGGTTCACTGACATATGTCATCAAGTAAACAAAACTTCATCCAAAACATAATTCACTCATCTCGTAGCTGTAGGGCATTCCACATCACTTTATAGCCAGTGAATTCCTTTTGATACATCTTTTTTCCTATGCTAAACATAGGAGACATGGTAACATGGACAAGTTGGTCCAAAAGGCCTGTTTCCATGCTGTAAACCTCTATGACTCTAAATACAGCAAGGTCCCAAAAAAAAGCACTTATTACCAGTTAACA